TGTGTCACTCTTAAATTTATAAAGTTTGTCCACATTATAGTTATTGTTCACTCTTTTATGTAATCTCATTTCTCTATTTCAGCTGATCATTACTATTACGGTATCCGTGTCGTAACTGGCAGTCAGGAAGAAGCTGGCACCGACTTTAATGCAGATATCTACGCGACTTTGATTGGCAACAAGGCCAGATCTGATGGAGACAAAATGCTGGGCTGGTGGGAAATATTTTCAAATGACAACAAGCAATGTAATGACCTCATTCTGGAGTGTAGTCAGAGTATAGGGGAAGTGCTAGTTGTTTCATTAGAGAACAAGGCCAGTGGAAAACATTCTTGGTATGTGGATTTCTTGGAGGTGCACGACTTTTCCTCAGCGGAGAAGAGAGTGTTCCCTTGCTATCATTGGATCGGTGCTGAAGATTCTATTTCATGCTCATCATCAACAAGTATGTGTGCATGTTGATGACAGTGTTACCTACGCACCTTTATTAACCTACGTTTTTGGCACTTGGTTTGCAAGATTGAAATGCTTACATACTGTCTAACAGGCCAGCAAGTTAGGGCTAGCATTAATGGTAATTATGTTTTGATTTTGGATTCTCGCAAAGGTCACATGAGATTGTTCAAAGCATTCTAGTAAAGACATGCTACAATGCCATAAGTACAGGCTTATGCTAACTTGCAGATAAGTACATAACATGTCCTCTTAGAGCGACATGATAAGAAGTGTAATTGTGCCAAAAGATGGTAATTAGTAGCAACTACACAGGCACTTTGAAACAAATTCCAGAGGAAATCTGCAGATAAAAGCTAACAGCTATAATACATTAGACACTTTGGCTAGGTTAGCTACTATGGTATATATTCCTTTGCTCTCCTTTCAGCATATTTTCTAGCGGCGTGCACATAACGTGCCCCTTTCTGGAGAGCGATTTTCACCAAACACGAAAGCTTGCGTGTGTTAGAAAATCACTTTCACGAAAGAATGAAAAACATAAGGGGAACTAGAAGGTATACACCGAGAAAGATAATATCCTTATCCTTTTTTGGAGGTGATGATGGCAATAATGATAGGTTATTGGCTTAGGAAAAAAACTAGCCGTGAGAGAACAAAAGTATAAAAACACCAAGGACCATAAGACAATTTTTCAACCTGGCTTGAGATATTTTTGCATATGCGGTTGTATGAAGGTGCATGATCAGCTATTGGTCGTCTGTTTCTGTGTCAATCACTGCTTGTGTTTCACTGTGAGCACTGTGCTCGTCTTTAGAATGTTCTAGCCTCCATTTGATTTCTCTGGCGTTGCTAAATCTCTACATTATGTTCCTACGTCAGAATGCTTATTAGCTTTATTATCTAAAGCCAGCATGCTTGCCGCAACTCTTGCCAAGCAAGTTTCTTGGAACCACAGTGGCTTCTCTCCCCCAGCCTGGATCGTTAGTGCATGTTCCACTGGTAATATAAAGTGCAGGATGTCTTGTTCCCAATAGAGGAACACATTTCTTGGAATTATTAGCCCAGGCCATTCATAGAGTGACAGTCTTGGTGTAGTAACTTCCTTACCACTATAGCTACCTCCCTTGTGGATCTGATTGCCTTTGTTAACAATAATGTAAAGTGCAGGATGTCTTGTTCCCAATGGAGGAACACATTCTCGGAAATATTAGCCCAGGCCATTCATAGAGTGACAGTCTTGGTGTAGTAACTTCCTTACCACTATAGCTACCTCCTTTGTGTTGGTTTACGATGTGATTTCCTTTTAACTTCCTTGTTAACAATAAGCAATTTCATGGGTTGACATTGATTTCCTTTACAGTCACATAGCTTATTATGTCTGCTAACACACAACAATAACTCTGGCTATGGCATTTACAGCAACTGCTACCCTAGTGCGTGGGCCTTTGCTGTGTGTTGTCATGATAATAGATTGCCTAGGGCTATTACAAACAAGTATTGTGACAAGTCTCTTCGGATGCTTAATATCTAGGTCTGATTATTTTATGGCATTCGGTTTATAAGTTGTGCAAGTTCATCTGAGGGAGAAGAAGAGAGATAAGGAAAAAACTCCCTATCATAGCGCTAATTGAACGGCACTGTGGTATACGGCAGCCTCAAACTAAAGGTAGCTTGTAAACAACAGGTACTGGTGCTACCACCACCATCTAAAGTGCAAACCTTCGGCGAACTTCACATGCACGATACTGCTAATTGATGGGCTGGGCTATTTGTACATAGGTGCGCTTGTTGGCATTGAGCCACAATTAGTAAAAGGGCAATTCTGTATACACTGAATAAATTGGTAGTACTGAACTATATAAGAACACAATGCTGTATGTGCCCCCAGCTTCTAGCTGTTTACACTACTACAATAGCTCGTGGTCTCCCACTGGTAGCTTGCGGCTAGAGCATGCGGGAGTCGATACGTTGAGCCCCCAAGGTACACAGAGCGAGCGGATCAGTTCCCGGTAAACCCAGTGAGATTATGCATATTGGCTTTTGCGGTTGTTAACCCTCGGCGCGCATGCGCAGCGAGGGTTGCGGTAGTTGGTGGTCTGTGTGTATGTGTCTGTCCGCGACTATTCTCGCACTACAGGCTACGAGGCGGCCTAAGAGCGATACCTAACGCTTCAGTGCTACGCGAGCCTGAAAAACAAAATGGCGATTTTGCTGAAACGACTGCGTTCGAGAGCGACAAACTGGCACGGTCGCGGACCGACCGAGTTCCGTGGCCCAAGCAATCATTAATCGGTGCGCATGCGTATATACGCGGTATAATTATACAGTATGCTGGCTCCACCTCAACCTGATACGCTAGCCTTGGAGGCACAATAAGCCACAGCGAAGGGCGTGTATCGACTCCCGCATGCTATCTACTACCGTAGCTAGCCCGTGTCAGATTCTCCGCGAGCTACAAGAGCTCGCGGAGGCATATCTCTTGAACGCAGTCGTTTCAGGAAAATCGCCCTTTAGGCTCGCGTAGTTCTGAAGCCGCTGGTATTGCTAATAGGCCGCCTCGTAGCCTGTAGTGCACAGACGACAAACCATGTACCAACTACTGTATATACCCTCGCTGCGCATGCGCGCCGAGGGTTAAAAGTGGCACCCTAGGGATTGCATATGTCAGTGTATTGGTGGGTTCAAAATTTGTAGCATCCCATCCTTACCCCTTCTTTTCATACCATACCCTGTTTTTTTTACACATACACATGTGCTGTTTACAGAATTACTTCAAGACATTGGGTCCAACCAAATTCTTGAAAAGCACCGAGATTATCAAATAAAGAGGCGAAGAGAAATTTACCCCTGGATGAGAAACGAAGATTTATGCCTACCATCTTCCATCGATAGTTCTGTTGATTTACCTCTCGACGAGGGCTTTGAAAAATTGAAAAACTTCCACTTTTTCAGCAATGCATTGATTGGCGCATTGAAGAGCAAGGTGGCCGGATTAAGCCTTGATGTTGATAGTCTGTATGGATATGAGCAATATGCCAGTCTTCTGGGGGAGCCAGATTTTCGAGTCTATGAACTGGGTCGATGGATGTCCGATGTTGAATTTGGACGGCAAGTCTTGAATGGAGTGAATCCAGTTGTCATTCATAGATGTGAGTCTCTTCCAGCAAAGTTTCCTGTCACAAATGAAATGGTTCAGAGCTCTCTTCACCGTGGACTTACCCTGGATCAAGAAATGAAGGTCAAAGTTCTAATGTAGGGTCCTAGAATCTATCTCGCGTAAATTGAGCACTTTGTACCATGGCTAAATTGTGGCTGTGTACAAAATGCTTAAAAATTCAGAATACTTTCGTAAAACATAAGGAGCACTAAAACTCTTTTTTTCTCTGAAAGGAGGATGTAGAGGTGTCATCTAATGAAGGCACAAATTCATTAGCTAAAACCTCATCCCTCTTGCAGAGAAACGTATAAATCCTCTATTATTTCTACATGAACAAAGATGTAGATGAGGTTATTAATGATGCACTCTCTCGATGTAATCATCTTCTTCTGTCCCCATGTGGTGGCATCCCTGCCTGCCTTTGCATTTCAACATAATACTCAAAACAGATGCCTGAAGTTGTGAGAGTATACATGCATATGCATGCACAGACAATACCTTACCTTTAAAGATTCTTGCTAAGGGCACTAGGTGATACCTAATACTGGCCTATCATTTAGCTTGAAGGTTATATCGATGGCAAAAAATCTCTAAATCAGTCTACTGGCTGGGAAGTTTAAGAGTAATGGAAGTTATGCAAAAGCATCAACCTGCCTGGAATAATGGGTGAGTGTGCAGAGCTCGTGCTGCCAAGTACTGCATTAGCAGTAAATGGCGTCATTCAGTGCCTTTCTATATGAGAGCTTCAGACTAAACTTTAGTGATTTCCTGGTGGTTGTGCACATCTCTCTCGATTCTGTTTAGTGAACAATTCTGTCAATCAACTGATTCAAGTGAAAATGAAAAGCACTAAAGTGCAAAACCCTCGGCGGCGTGGAACCACGTATGTGGTTTGGGCTATGTGTCACATGCGTGGTTCCACGCCGCCGAGTACTGTTGTGTCACACTGCGGACATCTTCAGGCGTCTATCGCGCTCTCCATCGGTCAGCCCCCTCTGCCTACAACGCTCGGAATGTAGACGAGTGCTGATTGCCAGCACAAAAAAGTATTTGCACCAGAAACGACAAGAAATATCCTCGAGCGCTGCCCTCAAACCATGGCCGCTCAACGGTGCCGAAAAACACGTGATCATTGTGCGCAACCCGCCAGTGTAACACACGCATGGTATGGGGGGAGATCAGTGTCAAAATTACACAGGGGTGCAGTCGCTCAATTAGGGTGTACGGTATATTCATTTGGGTATGGTGTGTTTTTATTTGGGTATGGTCTTTTCATTTGGGTATGGTCTTTTCATTCAGGTATGGTCTTTTCATTTGGGTATGGTCTTTTCATTCAGGTATGGTCTTTTCATTTGGGGTATGGTCTTTTCTCATTTGGGTATGGTCTTTTCATTTGGGTATGGTCTTTTCATTTGGGTATGCTCTTTTCATTTGGGTATGGTCTTTTCATTTGGGTATGCTCTTTTCATTTGGGTATACACTTTTTTCCTTAGGGTACCCAGTTCTCATTCTGGTACACACACTTTTTTAATTTGGGTACCCAGTTTTCATTTGGGTATGCACACTTTATTCGGATTGCATCATGAAGTTTTCCATAATCATAAAAATATTGCCGCTTTAAACACCTTGAATAACAAAAACAATGACAAACTATAACACGAAATTTGGAGTATCAAACTTGGTATATATACCCAAATAAAAAAGTGTATACACCCAAATGAAAACTGGGTACCCAAATAAAAAGTGTATATACCCAAATGAAAAGACCATACCCAAATGAAAAGAGCATATCCAAATGAAAAGAGCCATACCCAAATGAAAAGACCATACCCAAATGAAAAGAGCCATACCCAAATGAAAAGAGCATACCCAAATGAAAAGACCATACCCAAATGAAAAGACCATACCCAAATGAAAAGACCATACCCAAATGAAAAGACCATACCTGAATGAAAAGACCATACCCAAATGAAAAGACCATACCCAAATAAAAACACACCATACCCAAATGAATATACCGTACACCCTAATTGAGCGACTGCACCCCTGTGTAATTTTGACACTGATCTCCCCCCATATTGCATGCGTTTATTTCTCGCTTCCTAGAAGTAAGCGAATACTAATTAGCACATTGGCTTCTTAACTTGCTTTTCACGACATAACTTTTGAACGCCGTAGTTATACGAAAATCGTCTTTTTTAAAATGAACTCAGTGTAGCGATGAACCTGTTGGTATCACTAAGTACGGTAGTATTTAGTATACAAGTAAATAAAAAATTCTGCGAATTTAAAATAAGAGGCATATAGGGATGGTATAAAAAGAAAGGGAGACAAGATAGGGATTGGATACATGAAGCATGGTTAATGAACAGATTTGAGTACGCTGACACCCCAAACCCCATCACACCATCCCTATATTGTTGCCTAGGTGAAGTATTAAAGATTCACCATTACAATACTCAGAACTTACAATGCACTACTGAGTAACCAACACCCTTATAGACTCACTTGGACTCTATAAGGG